AGTACCAGAATGGAAAGTGAAGATTTAATTGTATTATGAATTGTTGTAATAAGAATTCGCAAATATACACATTGAATTAGAATAAAGATACATTGCTCTTAAGTAATATTTCTATTGGTCTTACCCTGCTATTATCTTTATGGATAAAAACAGCACGAAGCACAACTGAACTGCTCAACCGATCACAAACAAATGAACCGAGCCACGCTGTTATGATGTAAACAGTCGCACGTGCTTCCGAGAAACAAAACACTAGCGCCTTGCGTCGTCGAGAACGCGACGTTGCCAAATAAATTTCGTTCGGACGGTGGTCTGAGACGACGCGCGGCAGCGCAAAGGTGAGACCGTATTCGCAGCCCAAAACCCGCCGTGGCTTGAGCGATGGCTTGCAGACCATGGCTTTCAGACCATGGCTTTCAGGCGGCGGCTCAGGCATCGATTTCACAATCGACCCTTAGGCAGTCAGAGACGCAGTCACGGAGAGACGAAGACAGGGACAAGGACAGAGAGAGAGGCAGATTTAGAAAGACAGGCAGATGGAGACAGCCAGAAACGCTGAGAGAGAGAGATAGTGAGTGAGTGGGGACAGACCAACGCCATCTTGAATTAACAAAGCCTGCGTAGCTATATAGTGACATCACGAGTGTAAGGCAAGTAAGTACTTTGGTCTTCCTGGTAGACACAGCAAAAGCTTTTGCTAACAAATATTAAAAAATGGAAATTGAATAAAACACTCCTCGTTCAGTGAATATTCAACGAAATGTGCATTTTAAAACTCGTAAATGACACATATCGAATGCTTTATCTACATTCAATCATGTACTTTACATTTCCTAACAAAATGTCCACATCTTTTTTACAGTTAAGTGTAAAACTGCATATACATAAGCATCTTCACTCTTCATGGTGCTATCCTTGCAAAATTCTCAAACCAACATTTGGAAAAAATAAACGTTAATAACGCCAATATACATTATAACTAGGGGAAAGAATTGTATACCTTAATTTTTTTTTTTGAAATATGCTTTTAAAAATTTGCATTTATGACCTATAACATCATGTTCTCACATCATGGAATTCAGTTCAAGCACATTTATTGTCATTTCATATCAATGTAGGCCCCTTTGAATTTCCCCAGCCCAGCCATCGTTATAAATAAAAACCACCCTGATTCGAACTCGCCTCAAATCTGTTTGGGCTTGGGGCTCAGGAGCTCTGGGCAAATTGTGATCCTTGCCTCATTTAGTAATAATTTTAGTGACAGTTAAGCCTGAGGATAGGAAAAAATGAGTTCCCAGAAACGTCGCTAATTATTGAAACGTCTGTAATTTTCAATAAACTCTTTTATGATGTAATTGTAAACAAACAAAAAAAACGGTTGTTTGATTTAAAGCCGTCTGTCAAAAAAATCCTTGTGGCCCAATTCAGTGAAGAATACTTTGCATACAAAGCCCTGCAAACACTGTGCAGCGATCATAGAGACCTGGTAAAAATGGACAGATCACTACAAAAACCTATTGTACGTGGCAGCTCCAGAAGATGTACCTCTCCAAATACATAGTTTGGGTACCGGCAGCGAGTAAGCGACTCTGACGGTTCTCTCGCCATTTCTTGTAGTACGTCATGTGACCTGCTCTGAAGCAATCAGCTTGCGAGGATTTTTTTACTCTCTCACAGCCAGCGTCCAGCGTTGTTGCTCATGTGACTCAGGAAGTCGCAGATGCGATAAGGTTCGGCTGTGGTGAAAGTTAAGTTCATGATATCAGGACGTGTCGACGCGTCAGTATTTGTTAATGTGAGATTTAATTTATCTGTCATGTAGGTGGTGCCATGAGCGTAGCAATGTATTTCAAGAAGCTCATCGAACTGTCAAAGTCGCTTATATGCTGCCGGTTCTGTAGTTTGGACAAGATCTATCTGTGTCTAGCCCCGAATGAATAACCAAAAGTCTCACTAGATACCGTGCCCGTCGCTGGTTGGAGTGACGTCACGTTTCCAAAGCTGTGGCAAATTAAAATTTCGCTATTTAGCTCGTATACGCACAATTTCTTGAGCTCCTGATTATTGTAATGTTGCATTAATCATGATTAAAATAAAATATATAAAAAAACGCCAAGATGGGTATTTTTGAGGCGCAAGTGGCCAGTGCAATAGGGCTTGGGAACAAAGACGTCTGGCACTTCAGCACGCGTCGGCGAAGGTAGGTGCCTGGCCCAGCTGCGGTGCGGAGAGCGAAGACAGGTTTATGACGGAGAAGCGCCAGCGTATTGCTGTGGGACTACTTGCTGTGCCACCTGCGCTGCGGCAATGTGGTGGACTACAGCACAGAAGTACAAGGATACACTTAAGCTGGTACAGAACTAAGTTCTACGGCTCATAGCACACCCTCCGTTTCGGGAACGGTTGAAAGTACTGAGGAAGGAACTTGATATCGAGTCCTTGACTCAATGCTTGAGACGGCTTTCGTTTAACGAAGCCTTTCAAACCGACGAAGCTCCGGCAACGCTAAAACAGTTAGCTCGACACGTCCTTACTATAGGGCAAAGAAGACAAGCACTCCCCTCTAATATTCTGAAGATGTTGTGCAACACAAAAGCCGACTTGGCTATTGACTTAGGTCCTACACGAACCCACACCAGCCACTTACACGTAGCAGTAAAACGCAAAATTGCGTGCGCACTGCGACACATAGTACACAAACCTTTGGCTAAGCCAAAAAAAGTGAAACCCTTTCGCACGACGCATTGGGTGCACTTATCCATCAGGCCACTCAAAAAACAAACAATGAGACGACTACTTCAAATTTATGTGATGGGCGTGAAAAAGAGCACGGGTGCAGGATAGGGCTTGCACTTTGCCACGTTTGTCTTCAACTAAAGTCGGCTGGAAAGGCATTGCTGCTTCTGCGAGGCGTGCATGTCAAGATAATAAGCCACCTACTCTTAAGAAAATGCTCAACGACTCATTTAGTTCCGCGCACATGCGACTTTCCACGAAGACGTTAGGGTGCGAACAAAGCCGAATTCGACCTAATTTCACTCCACCAATTACGAGAAAGATAGACGAGCTCACTGGTAGCTACGCTGATCATTGGTGGAAATAAGAAATGGGCGAGGTTGTTTTCCAAAAGGGAGTGGGGAGAGAAGCGATGGAGATTTGGAGTTCTTGGAAGAAGAGAAGCCAGCAAGGTGCAGGAGGAGTCAGACGTCAGCCAGAAGGCAGGTCGCGGCTCGCGAGAACAACTTTGTGAACATTTATTCATCTGACTCATTTTTAATAAGTAACTTACCCCTTAACGAACTGAGGACTCATAAACAGGTCACTCAAGAAAGTACCGTGGTCTCACAGTTTGTTAATAATTACGACTGCGGAGTAAAATTGTTATCGCGCTGGCCATACAATTTGCTTTTGCCGAAAAATTTAAGAATCGCGACCGCTGGTGAAAATTATACCGGCAATCCAATACCACGTCCACGAAAACGAACTTTTCTCATAAGGGTAGTCGTGAGCTAACGCCGATGCTGTGAATCGACAACAGGGCGCCGCTGATGATGTAAGACCTGCGAGGGCAGTGGCTCCGAGGCGCCAGCTGACCAACCGGAGGGGCGACTTCCCGTGGCAGCGAAATTACAGCGGGGCGCTTCGACCGGGGGCCTGTTATTTTTTAATATAGACGACCCGCCCCTACTTTCTCTCTTTGTGATGTTGAATGGCAAACGCTACTGGTACCTGGCGCTGCTGGGACGAAGGACGAAAACGACTTTAAATGCGACAAAGACTTTAAATTTTTTATGTTAACAAGAAACAAGATCAAGAAGAATTACATTGTAAATTTTTCGGCCTGAATATAATCCAAATTAATTATTTGAAGTAAATGTCCTGTTTGTTAAGTTACCTAAATCTTTTCATTCAATTACCATTACAAAACCCAGCATAATTAGAAGCATGAGTGAACGTAATCGGGAACGAACCCACACACCCGATGAGTAGCTTAATGACAATGCCAACAGTTCGGCAAGACCCATCACATTACCTATCCCCACTCCTTTACTAAAATAAGTTGAAATCGGAATAAATGATTGCAATGAGTTTTGTTGACAAAATATGATAACCAGAAATGCTCCTGTGTAATGGATTTAATTTGCATAGAAAAATGAGCTTCAGATTGTATATAATAATCTTGTTTACAAAATAACCAAACTCCCCACTCGTATCGCATCTATCAAAGTGAGAACTCTAAAAAAAAGGTGCGGATTAATAGCTAGTAGGAAGTAGCCTACTTAGTAAAAACTGCATGTTATGTAATGAAATACTCTAAACTAATAGGCACAATCGTAACAAGTCGAACACGCTTAGCCCAACACAATAACATCATTATCGATGTGCACACCGATAGACATAAATGACAATGTCAGACAGATTATACACTACACTACACTACAATACTCTACTGACCGTCACTGGGCATTCACCTAGTGTTGTCAAATCGAATCGCCGCGCTTGTGCCTTATCAGGAAGTGTTGTCAAACCAAATTACATTACAAGAAAGTTATATTACAAGATAACGTTGTATAACGTAACGCGAATTTGTATTACGTTATATTTTTAGAAAGTATATAGATACATATTTTCAAGCGATACGTTTTCTTAAATTTGTACGGAAAATATTATTAACGTCTGAAAAACGTATTTTTAACTGTCGACTTAATTGCTTAATTGTCGCCCCTAAAACTATCCCGCTTTAGGCTACAGCCTTCTCGATTTAAAAATCTGCCCCTGATTTTATTGTGATTTCTTGAGTAACGTGTTTGTGTGCATGAAATTACATTAGAAACGGTTGAAAACATCAGTAACACAAATTTTCAAATCTCGAAGGTGTTTTTCTTTCCCTTAAGTGGTTCGTAAGAGTAATTGCATTTTTCATCACTTGCATGATGACAGATGGAAGAAATATTTGTTTCTGGAGGCAACTCGAGATATGAAGTATTTTCATATTAAATATTAAGATTTTTCTATATTGTTCAGATTTGATTTATACTTAATTGTTGGTAACTTGTAATTTTAGTTTACTTTATTTACGTATTACATAGATTAACAAATGTTATGCTAATATTTTTAAAATCAAATGTTTGTAAAATTTCATTACTTTGAGCATTTTTATTTACTCTCTTAAAATAAAATAATTTTCCATGATTCTAATATTTAGTTTTAATGAATCTGTAGAATTTTATTTTATTGATTTGTTTGTCATTTTGAGTCAACTCCATGGCAATGTGTCCTTCATTTCCTACAGAATCCTAAAATAAATGATAAATTTACAATAGGACGGTACGTTCAAAATTACCGCAGAGCATATTGAACGTACCTAATTGGTCGAGAATATTACGTCATTGTCGTCCACCTCCACTTAGATTAGTAACGGTACCAACCGTTCGAGCGCAGCACTGCGGATTTAACGCGTGGTTATCGCTATAGAGTAACTAGATTATAACACGTATTGTAAACTTTGCACGCCCTGACAGATCGCTGTTGATTTGTTGATTTCCTTGATATCAGCGAGGCGGTGAATGTTTAAAAGAAGATTCGGAGTGTAATTACTTAGTATTTTCCTCCTGTTGTGTTTTTGGAAAGAATCCTTTTTGGTTTTTCGAAGGAAAATCTCTGTATAGATAACGATGTAGACTTGTTGCAGATTGTGAACCTTAGGCGAAAAAGGAGGCTTAACCATCAAGGTTCTGCTAGTTACTTTTGTTCCTGTGTTTAAATCGAGTTTATTTAAATGTTTTTGTAACCAATCAAAATATTTATTTTGCATTAGGGTGGACTGATTTGTGTATTTCTGGACACTTGAGAAGATACAAAGAGTAACACTTGTAGGTCTATGTCATTTAGATTGATATTATTTAAATATATATATGTAGATATATTCTTCAACATAAAATTGAAAGGCGAATATTACTGCAAGGACCCTTGTTGTTCTGCAATGGGTATTTTAAAAGAATTTTGTTTCTTTAATGGATTTTGAATAGCATGACCCAAAAACAAGAAAATAAGTTCTAAAGAAAAAAAAAGTTCTTGTCTACTTATTTTTCAGTCAGTTTGTAAATGCCAATGCAGGAATATGAAGCCCATCATATTCATTGAATTTTTTAGTTTAAGATTTTTAGTCTTCATTTTTAATTTTATACGGTTAATTGTGATTATCTTTCGGAGATAACTTGCTTATGAGTGGTTATAAAAACCTTAATTAGTTTTCAGGTTTTGATTTGCTCTCTTTAAATTTTGAATGATCCTAATAAAGAAAAACTATAATTTTGTAATGAAAATATAAATATTCTAGATGTTTAGTTAGTAACGAAGTGTGAGAGACATCATATTCCTGAATATTGGAGCTATTAATGATTTCTATAGAGATAAAAGGTATTCCATTGCCTGAATAGGAGAATTAAATGATGAAAATTCTATTGTTATGCAGATTTTGAGTTCTTACCTTGTTGAGTTGCCATCAGGTGTAGCTTCAGTTATTGCTTATCATAATGTAGTTAAGTACTTTTGTTAAACATATCTAAGATTTTAGATCTTAGAGATGTTAGCATTGCAAAGAATAGTAGTTTTAGAAATGAAAATTCATCTGCTTGAGAGTAATTACAAACAATCCTTGTTATTTTTTTCTCTCCATGGAATGAAGTACATTTTTCAAAACTACATTTGTGATTTTTCAGATATGCATTATTGATTTTTTCACATATCAATGAGGGCAAATGTCACTGAAAGCAGCAGAATATTCTATTTATTTAGTAGTTGCAGCATAAACTCTCTTGTAGATAGATATCTTCCATTTACTTACTTTTTTCATTGTATTCTAAAATTTGATGATCTATAAAAAGTGATTTTTGAATCTTTTCAGGGCAATTTAAAAATGGCGGAATCAGTTTTGTCAGTATGTTGGAGAGACCATACCAGTGAACTTGCAACGGTTTATAAAAGTTTATTGGAGAACAATTTTTTGGTTGATTGCACTCTATGTGCTGAAGGTCAGAACCTGAAAGCTCATAGGCTGGTTTTATCTGCAAGCAGTCCTTACCTGCATGTAAGTTAAATATTGTCTAAAAAAATATTGTCTTATTTTTGGTTTGTTCTTTTTTACTGCAAATAAAAAGAGTTTAGTTATATAATTCTCATTGTTGAAGTGCTGTCAAAAGCTGTGGTAAAGGTGGTAGACATAGATTTATACGTTTGGCAATAGCACACCATGTGCTCTGTAGCTGTCGATACCAAAGTTCTATCTCCTACAGTACAGAGGATTTCTGATGTTTAACTCCAAAGAGGTCTTCTAGATTAATGGAGTTGATAGCAAGATCAGATACTGCTTCTAACTAACTTTTTATGCTGTTTTCATGGAAGTACACAAGGAAATGGATCTAATAGAGATACATGTTTTATTTAGTCTATGTAGATGAAAGTAAAAAAGCTAATTCAACGATGTACATATTATCAAATGTCAGGAATTAAAATATTTTTTAATTTTTTGTGACACATATTTAACTGAAAGTTTGAAAGTAATGTGATGGAAATACTTGAGACTGCTGATTGTATTATTTGAAAAGAAGAAATGCATTCCAAGTCTTCACATAACAATTGTAGTTTTGTTGTGAACTCTGTATTCCATCCTTCCATAGTCTCTGATTTTTTGTCATACTTAAGTATACTTGGATTTGATACATTGAAAGTAAGGATCTGTTTTAAATATGTGATTCAGATTTACTTATTTGTTATTTCCTGTGTTCTTACCTTAAAATTTTAACAGAATCTTGGAAACTAAACACATGATGAATAAATATAATATGATTGTACAAAGAATATTGCTTATTTTGAGCAAACAATTAGAATTATAGTGAGCATAAAGTATTAAATGAATGCATAGAAAGAGAGATAAGATAATATTAATATTAATAACAACAATACTGATAATAACTATAATAATGATAGTATTAATAATAATAATAATAATAATAATAATAATAATAATAATAATAATAATAATAATAGTAATAATAAAATAAAATTGAAAAACCTCAATAAAGGTAAAAACACTCCACTTCTATTCAGTTTACTTGAGCACATATTGGAAATGTCTCCACCATATACACACAAATACATCTATAAGCATGTCTGTAAAGATTTATATTAATCTAGTTAGTTCAGTTAGAAATGGTTCTGTATGAATGTATGTATATAATTTTATGTCTTTTTACACCCATCATGACAGACAAAAGAAGTATTGTTATATTTGAGAAAACTGAGTTAATACCTCATAAAATACAAATGATGAAAATGAAATGCTTACACTACAATACTAGCCTATTGACTGTGCTGTAGGTACTTTCTTGAAAGCTGCATCATCAACCATTCAAAAATGACAGGTAGTGCTGAAGTTATGTGACTCACCCTCTATGCTTAAAACACTTCTAGGTTGAGAGTTCTTTTTCGTAATATTTAATAAGAGTTTTTGTGGTTGTGTTGTTATTTCCAATTAATTCTTTAGTAATTTTGGGTTGTTGATATATATTTTGGAATGTTTCCATTGTGTGTATCTGCATTAAATAATTTTGCTTTATCATTTGCTTTGTTGTTTCAGTGCCATGTGGCATCATAAATACATGTTTTTTGATACAGAGGTGGCCAAATTATTATGGTGGAGTTATTGCATGAGACAAAATTGTATTTGTAACCATAGATCTTAACAATAAAGAGTCGGTTTTTAATGTTTTATGATTTATATGTAATGTTCGTAATTTACATGCTTGTTGTGAGTCATGATGAAAATCAATTTTTAATCCTTTCAATTTCAGAGCTTTTTTGCCAGATACAAATGAGTTGTTTCATGAGCTAGTTTGTATGCCCTTCTTTTCCTCAGTTTGTTTCAAGATTATCATATCAAACATTTCCTCAGAGATTCATGGCAATTACGAGCAGCCTATTGAAGTGCAGTCATGCATTAGATATGCATGGATTTTTTCAAAACCTCTCATTTGTTTGAGGGGATTATTCATTATTTACTATCTGTAGATGTTGGCCATGCCTCATCAGTTCCATTTCAAATCATTACCGTTTTCAGGTGCTTTCCAAGACACTTAGAAATCTGTTAAGTCAAGGAAAAAATATTTATGTAATAATTTTGCCATCTCTGTACTTTCTTTTCTAATAAAGTTAATTTTTGTTAAAATCATTTTATTTTATTCTTTGATTACAAAAAAATCAGTTATTTTCAAGTATTGTTTTTATTTTTATATTTATGGTCCCCCAAATCAAAAAGAAAAATAATATTTATTTTTACAGTGATATATAGTGCAGTAGTTTACATATGTATTGTATAATAAAAAAAGAGGACTTAATGTGCCTTTAACAAATAATGTACTTTAGCTTCCAGGTCAATGACCCCCATCTCGATCAGGTTTTTGTCCATTGTGCAAATGTTGAGATGTCTCCTTGTTTTGCTTCTGGACATAAATGAAGTCACACTTTGCACACATTTTGTTTAGCTCACCTTTTGCAGGTAGAGGTAGGAGTAGGACCGGCAGTGTGTTACTATTTTATTAGCAATACAAAAAAAAAAAGTTAAAATCTTTACTTCATTCACTTTCATTCATCATTCAACGTTTATAGCTGGAAAGAGATTCTGGAGCTCAAGGAAACAGACACATATAGTACCTCTCCACCATATGTCACACACAGTTTTTATTGTTCTTTGACTAAATATGTCATATCAAAAAGAACTGACATTTATTAGCAGTGATTTCTTTAACATTTCATTTAAATACTCATTAAGACATGAATTAAGGAAAAAAATTGCTGCTTTAGTATTAGTAACATTAAAACAGCTTGTTAAATATCATCGGATATTACAGATTATGCCATCTACATTCTTGTTGTTATTTTCAAATGTAAAATAAATTAAAAAGTGTTGGTGATGAAAGTAATGGTTTTAGAGAAGAAATGCTAATCTTTCTGTTCTCCTTCTGTTCTTCATA